AAAATATATGTCCATGTGCAAAAAAACTAACAAATGGCAAAAAACAGTAGACAAAGTAGAAATATAAACTACAAATATAACATATAATACAATATAAAGAGAGGCAGAAATGCAGCACGCCACCCAGGTTTTGGTCACCTTAAGAGCTTTTCTAGGATCTTTACTGTAAAATATATGTCCATGTGCAAAAAAACTAACAAATGGCAAAAAACAGTAAAAAAAAGTATAAATATAAACTATAGATATAACATATAATACAATATAAAGAGAGGCAGAAATGCAGCACGTTTTGGTCACCTTAAGAGCTTTTCTAGGATCTTGAATACAGTCTTCGTCTTACTGTAAAAATATATGTCCATGTGCAAAAAAACTAACAAATGGCAAAAAACAGTAGACGAAGTATAAATATAAACTATAAATATAACATATATAATACAATATAAAGAGAGGCAGAAATGCAGCACGCCACCCAGGTTTTGGTCACCTTAAGAGCTTTTCTAGGATCTTGAATACAGTCTTCGTCTTACTGTCAAATATATGTCCATGCGCAAAAATCTAACAAATGGCAAAAAACATCCATCCATTATCAATACCGCTTATTCCCTGATGGGGTCGCGGGGGGGGCGGAGCCTATCCCAGTAGCCAATGGGGAGAGGCGGGGTCCCCCTGGACGGTCCCCAGTCCATCACAGGGACACACAGAGACACACAAGGACCAACAACCACTCACACTCACATTCACTCCTAAGGGCAATTTCCCCAATCTCAAATCAACCTAACATGCAGGTTTTTGGAGGGTGGGAGGAAGCCGGAGAACCCGTAGAGAACCCACGCAGACACAGGAGAACATGCAGAACCACCCAGAAAGGTCCTGGTTCCCCCGGGACTCCAACCCAGAACCCTCTGGTCTTGGTTCCCCCGGGATTCGAACCCAGAACCCTCTTGCTGGGAGGCGACAGTGCTAACCACCACACCACTGTGCCGCCACAAAGTATAAATATAAACTATGAATATAAGGCCACCTTCAGGGCGTTCCCGCTCAGGTTCAGGACCCGGAGCGGCTGCACGGCGGCGGCGCGCGGGCACAGAGTCTGGGGCAGCGTGAGGTCGGTCAGAAGGTTGTCGGACAGGTCCAGGTACTGCAGGTTCTCCAGCAGCTGGAAGGTGGCGCAGGGCATCAGGAACACCTGCAGGGGGAAGGGGGGG